ATTTTACCTATATTCATAAACCACTTACTATTAACAAATCATAAAGATATTGGCACATGTTTACAGTTTGGTGCTTGAACTGGAATTGTAGGAACCTCCCTAAGTCTTCTTATTTGTGCTGAATTAGGTCAACCCAGAGCTTTACTAAGAAATGATAAAATTTATAACATAATTGTTACTGTTCATAATAATCTTTCATATAGTAATATCTATTATAATTGAGGGCTTAGGCAGTTGAATAGTACTATGAATAACCATAGCCACTAGAGCATTTCTTCAAATAAACAATATAAATTTTACTGCCTCCACCATCATTCTTATGTCTATTTGCCTCATCAATAATTGAAGAGGTGCTGGAACAGAATTAACAGTATATCTGCCCTGTGTTAGCCCACACAAGAGCTTCTGTATATTTGACTACCTTTTCACTACATTTAGCAGGTGTCTTATTGATTTTAGATACAATCGATTTTATTATTACAATTATCAATATAAAACCACCAACACTATTTGTTTGATTGTTCTAATTATAGATGTAATATTACATTCCCAGTACTTAGCAGCTAGTATTACTATACTATACAGATCATAAGTACCACTTCCTTTGATCCTGAAGGAGGAGGTCTCCCAATTTTATATCAATATCTATTCTGATTCTTCATCCACACAGAAGAATATATTCTTATTTATGGGTTTGAAATAATTTCACATATTGTTGTATGTTACTCAGGTAAAAAGATTTCTGGATATATAGAAGTAATATGAGTCATATTGGGGAGACAAAGTTACTCACAGATTTTCAACTGCACAAGGGGTCAGCACCTCTGACCCCTACATCATTCAAAGGTCAACTATACTTGCGACACTCGTATTACATCTGGTATATTTTAACCAGGACAGTGAACTCAAGTACCACACACAAATGAACCAATAAAAACATATGTAGACATTTTAGTCAGTAGTTCCAACAACTTCTCCATTTACTCTCTAGCCCTTTCTGTTCTGTTTCATTTATATTTATCTCCAAATCTTTGATTTTTCTGCCATTGGGACCCCCCCCCCACCTTCTGGATTGGTGGCTAATACTGGTTTTGTTGTATTAATCTCCGATGATTTTTAAAGAGTTTGACTTGATTTTCTTCACCTCTTGACACATCAGGTAGGGTACTCTTCCTTAGTTCTGACCCCTTGTGACTGCAAACCCACTTAGGACAGGTGCTAGGCATATGTCACCTTGGTTTCCTCCTCAGGGTGATTCAGATAACTTACCATCTGTGAGATGTGCTTTCCTGTGTAGATAAAGTGTCAGGCATTTATCTATTTAAGAAAAAAATATGTCTACATTTATTCTTCAACACTCTGACTTAGATCTAAACATATCTAGTAACCTAAAGTTTTCTTTGCTCTGCTATTAATTCACACATGTTCTTTTTAAAGATTTTATTTATTTATTTGAGAGAGAGCACGAGCAGGGTAGGGGCAGAGGGAGAAAGAGAAGCAGATTCCCTGCTGAGTGGGAAGCCTGACACAGAGGTCCATCTCAGGACCCCAAGATCATGACCTGAGCCAAAGGCAGATGCTTAACAGACCAAGACACCCAGGCACCCCTAATTCAGTTTTCTGGTATCAAACTATCTTGAAGGAAATTTACGTAATGGAGGGACTTGTTAAGGACTCGTTTGAGTTGGATTTGTCCTTATTCTGTTAGACTTTTAAGCTTTCATTTTACATCATTCTTTATCATTATTGCACCTCTTTGGGGCTTATGATCTCTGTAAGTGAGTGCATGAGTAAGTACATGGAACTGATAACTTAATGACAGTCTTAGAGAATGCGTACAGTTCTCAGCCAGGCCTCCACTAACTGAAGTTTAGTTAATTCTGGCTCTCCTCAGTTCTGAGGTAAACAGGAGTGTGGTGAACACTCACTAGAGGGGGGATCCATCAGGATGGGCAAATTGAATTTGCAAGCGGCATGTTTATCTGGAAATTCTCTTCCCGAGAAAATTCCTTTAAAATAGAGCTCTGTGCTCATACTTTGAAGCTTTTTTACTTAGACCACCTCACAGAAGACCTGCAATATTCTGAATAATGGTTCACTAGGGTAATGTAATTTCTCCAAGGCAGGGGTTAGCCTGTGGCCAAATCTGGTCCTGTTTGTTTTTGTATGACTTGCAAGCCAAGAATGGCTTTTATAGTTTCAGTTTGGGAAAAAAGCAAAAGAATATTAATATGTCATAACATGTGAAAATTATATGAAATTTAAATTTCAAGTTTCATTAAAACACATCCTCACCCATGAACTTACATATTGTCTATGGCTGTTTTCAGCTACAGGAGCAGTTGCAACAGAGACAGTATGGTCCACAAAGCTGAAACATTGCTATCTGGACCTTTGCAGAAAATGTTAACTCCAACTCTAGGCTTAAGGAGGAAAGGAGGGATCCCTGGGTGGCGCAGCGGTTTGGCGCCTGCCTTTGGCCCAGGGCGCGATCCTGGAGACCCGGGATCGAATCCCACGTCGGGCTCCCGGTGCATGGAGCCTGCTTCTCCCTCTGCCTGTGTCTCTGCCTCTCTCTCTCTGTGACTATCATAAATAAATAAAAAAAAAAATTAAAAAAAAAAAAAAAAAAAAAAAGGAGGAAAGGAGGCACATACAAAGTGATGATCTCTTTATAAGCTTGTATAGGTACCTCTTCTATGCAGTTACGGGGACTGAACAAAGTCAAGGAACAGAGAAAAGAGAATGAGCTGGTACAGTATCGGTGCTTAACTCAAACCTTCCTTCAAGTAGTCTTAGGTGTCAGCCCTCTTCCCTGAAGCGCTTGCATTCAAACTGCTACCTAGAAACCTGAAGCTGCAGAGTCTAGAACAGCAGTCAAAGATAGTGCATTGGGAATATGGCCAGGAATTATGAGTAAGCTTGGAACATACCTGTTATGCCTCCAAGGAGTGCCATACTCTCTGAGCTAAATTGCCCTTCCAAGTGTTCTAACTGGCCCTCCATCCAGAGAACAGAAAGGAAACTGCATGAGAGGTTTGGAAAAGAGGCAATGAAGCAGGGAGTGGCTACTACCCCAACCAAGCCTGGACAGTTGAGTTTCTGAAGATGAGAGGGCTTTGTAGAAGGCTACAGCAAGCAAAAGCTAGGCTGAGATGCCCAGGAGATAGACCAGGATCAGTAAATGTGTCTGCCACAAACAGAATATACTCCTGCAAAGGGCAGAGAGGGGAAGAGTAGCCTTTTTCACATGCTGGAGAGAGAAAACAAGATCAGAGGACAAGGTGGAATCAGGTGTGTCCTGCCCCTCCTTAGATGAACAAGGCTACAGGAATGTTCCTAAGAAAGAGATCCAATCTTCTTTGCACTGTAGTTTGTGTAGCTCTTTAAAAACTAAAAAGAGCTCTATGAAAAATGAGAGAAGATAAAAATTATTGGTCTGATTGCAGCCCTAGAAAATTTAGTGAATCCTGTGATTAAAAAAAAAAAAATCAGGGACACCTGGGTGGCTCAGCTGTTGGGTGTCTGCCTTCAGCTCAGGGCATAATCCTGGAGTCCTGAGATAGAGTCCCACATCAGGCTCCCTGCATGGAGCCTACTTCTCCTTCTGCCTGTGTCTCTGCCTCTCTCTCTCTCTCTCTCTCTCTTTCTCTGTCTCTCATGAATAAATAAAATATTTTTTAAAAAATAAAAATAGGGATCTCTGGGTGGCGCAGTGGTTTGGCGCCTGCCTTTGGCCCAGGGCGCGATCCTGGAGACCTGGGATCGAATCCCACGTTGGGCTCCCGGTGCATGGAGCCCGCTTCTCCCTCTGCCTGTGTCTCTGCCCCTCTCTCTCTCTGTGACTATCATAAATAAATAAAAATTAAAAAAAAAGTCTTTAAAAAATAAAAAATAAAAATAAATAAAAAATAAAAAATAAAATTTAAAAATTAAAAAAAATCTTACCTACACCCCAAATTTATGGTTTAATTGCTACCTACAAGCCATGCATGTATATATGTATAAATATAAATATATATATACATATAAATATCCTATAATCCTTGCAACAACTGAACAAGACAAATGGTAATAGTGTAGTATCCCTATTTCATTAATGAAGGAACCAAGAATTGGAGAGATTATATGACTTACTCAAGGCCAAATAGCTGTAAGTGACAAAATGAAGATCTGAAGTCTTTCTGACTATTCACATAACCACATTTACTTTACAGATGACTACTACCATCTTCAAAAGACATTTTAAAAAGGCAGTTCCTCAAATTAAATATATGCCAGCTTCTGCTAAATATCATCTGCTAAATTGAGGAATAAACTAAGTAAAATAATTGAAGTGTCATAATTTTAAGTGATATAAGAATATGCTTGATCAGAAAATGATTTTTAGAAATTTCATTGTATTTCATGAGTGGGAGTTAGATGTAGCTTATTTAGTCTTATCATCAACATAATTTTACCTGGTACTAATGAATCAACTTATTAAATTTTATCTTTTCTGTGATGGCACACTGTCCCTACAATCAAAGAAATACAAATTTGCAAAATCCAGGCCTTTGACCACAAAGGTCAAAAGAGAGAACAGGAGGAAGGAACATAGGAAACTCATTTTAACTGCTGGGATGTCTCATTTAAGCAGCCAGTCTTCTACAGTATTAAGGCGGCTTCTATGAGATATCCTCTCTAAAAAATCAGAACTGAATAAAATAAGGTAAACTTAGAAATAACACACAATAGAATAGAGTAGAAAACTGGAGTCATCTGGGAAAAACTGCCTGGCTCACAGGCAGAGCATTCAGAAGTATAAACAGTGGGTTAAGTTTATCTTGCCTAAAGAGAAAGCAAGCACCCAAGTGGTCAGAAACTGGGCAGAGCCCAGCCTATCTGGAGAATTCGTGGTTCAGGCTCACTTGTGAGAGGACCGGGAAATGTGTTCCCCTTTAAAAGCAGTTCCTCCTCCCAAATTAAAAAATATATATATAAATAAATAAGTAAAAGCAGTTCCTCCCATTTTCCAATAGTTTCCATGCAGTGGTGGTTTATGGAAAACATTTTTCTTCCAAACTGCCCAAACAACTTGGACAGGACTTAAACATACAGAAGGGAAGATAAAGAAAAAAGGTAGAAAAGGGGAAAATAATGATATTATAATGGGTTGAGAGGGAGGAGGGAGGGATAGGTAAATGGAGAAGGGAATCTATAGTTCATACCAAATGTGGCCAGAATGAGAATGACATATAATTCAGGTAAATCTTTTTATTCTGAGAAGTAAGGGTCATGATTCTTGTCATTCAAGTCTATTTCACTGCATATCTATGTGATTTTGTCTAAACAGAAAAAAAAATAGAAGTAATAGTAAGGCCTAAAGATATTGTCAGAAACAGGAAAAGATTAGGAAATTTAATTTTTAAAAAAGAGAATGGAGGTGGGGGTGGCAGCTAGTAGAAAGAAGTTGTTTTTAGACAAGACACCTGAGTTGTTGTTTGTTTGGGTTTTTTTAATTAAGAAAGCGAAGAACATTGTAAGGGAGGAATGGAGTGACTGCCTGGCATACTGAAATGTAGACAGAACCTGACCTTGTTCAGCATTGAGTCTTATGCCAAAATAGAAAGAAGAAATAAATATGCATGTGTGTGCACATACACATGCATATTTGTTTCTTCATTCATATATACATACATGTTTGTAGGTATTGGTGTTTGCATGTATGTTTTATTTCATTTTATTTTATTTTTTATTTAAGATTTTATTTATTCATGAAAGACACAGAGATAGAGAGACAGAGACATAGGCAAAGGGAGAAGCAAGTGCCCTGCAGAAATCCCGATGCAGGGCTCCATCCCAGGACCCCAGAATCATGCCCTGAGCCAAAGGCAGATGCTCAACCACTGAGCCACCCAGGTGTCCTTGCATATGTATTTTAGTTGTGAATCCCCTTTTCTTTCTCATGTTCACTTTTAGATAGGAAATCAATGACAAAAGGCCAAAAGCAAAAATGACAAATACATATGCTAGATCATAAGTCTCTTAACTTTGGGAAGTTGAGTAAAAACAAAGTGCTTCTTTTTTTGGAACAAACTATTCTTCTTAGAAATCAGGGAGAAATGCAAAATGCAGTTAGGTTAGTAAAGAGTTCTGATCCATTTTTTCAACATTGCTTTCTTGGTGCAAAAATAAAGGTGTTTTTTTTTTCTTTTAAGGATTTATTTATTTATTTTAGAAAAAAAAGAGAGAATGAGAGCTTGAGTGGGGAGAAGTGGCAGATGGAGAGAATCTCAAGCAGATTGCCTGCTGAGCACAGACCCTAACTTGTGGCTCTATCCCACAACCCATGAGATCATGACCTAAACCAAAATCACAAGTTGGACACAACCAATTGAGCCACTTAGGCTCCCCTAAATTCTAATTAAACCAAAGAGTGATACAAAAAAAGTTTTCAGTAATACTGTTGCTAGAAATGTTCTCTGGGCCTTTATGCAGGTTAACTATGGGGAAAAGAGTGGCCATCATCGGAGCTGGAGTCAGTGGCTTGGCCTCCATCAGAAGCTGCCTGGAAGAGGGGCTAGAGCCCACCTGCTTTGAGAGGAGTGAAGACATCGGGGGCCTGTGGAAATTCTCGGTGAGTGGGACATCACTGCAGCAGACCAGGAAGTGAGGTGGGAAGTGTGTGAGAAATCATTGCTGGAGCACAGGCTGCCAAACCAGCTTCCATGCAATTAGAATCCCTCTTAGGTTTGAATCTACAAAATACAGAATCAGGAGCAGGTTGGAAAGTAAATTCCTTGCTCACTTCAGAAGTAAATGAGATAGTGAGATAGCTTTAAAGGTCTCTGTTTACAGAATTCACCCTTGATAAACCATTAATAATTGAGCCACTTGGGAGTAAAATCCGAAGGCAAATATTGGTTAGGTTTATGTAATTACATGAGTTACTCATTTAAAAAACAGGGCTGTCCCCATTCTTCCACTGAGGTTACCAAAGGTCCACTGAATGATTCAGACCAGATTTTAAGTTTCAGGTGCTCTTTGGCCTTCAAAAACCATATAATTAATAAGACTGCTACAGGATGAACCAAGAACAGGACACACTTATTTGAAGTTCTTCAATGCCCTTTTGTCTCTGTGCAATAAGGACTCTGTCAGCAGTCATGCTTCTAGGCAACCATTAAGTCACTTCCTGTGTTGCCTAACAACCACATCAGCAGGTGCAAGGGCTTGCCTATGCTCCAGCTCCCATATTGCCTCCAACCTTAGGAACGCTGCCTGGCTAAGCCTACCTCGTCTGTCTTCTTCTTCTGATAAACCATTTATATATGCAAATTTAGGAAGAGCAATAACTTTTCAAGCTACTATTTCCTCCTCAAGTACAAAATTAATATTATGTTTCATATCTCAATAAAAAGGTTACATTTAAGGAGACAATGTCTGTGACAACTCTAAATGTTATAAAGATATGAAAATTATTCTTATTAATATAGCTATTTTCTGGACTGTAAAGAATTGTTGAAACTGTTCAACATCTTGTACAACATTGTAGAGCCTAGAATATGTTGCTGAAATGTGCTGACAGAGTTTCAGATTAGCACGCTATTGACTCTTAGGGCTATTATAGTGAGCACTTTCTATATGCCTAACACTGTTACCCATTAATTAAATCTTCACAATAATCCCATAAGGTAGGTATCAGTTTTTCCCTTTTACAAATGAATCTGAAGCTTAAAAAGAAAAAAAAAATGGTAAATGATCAGTAAATGGAAAAGACAAGATCATGATTCAAGCTGGCCTGTCTCTCTAGCCTTTTTAACCCCTTGGTAAACTGCTGGGTGCCACTGCAATAAGTGGCCTTTTGAGCTGGCAGGATTTCTATAGGAATCTTATCCAATCCTCATATTCAAACTACTTTGCAAAGCACTGCTGAAGATAGGCACTGCTGATACAGCTTTTGAGAGTAGCTACATCTCTTGCTGCTCAAGGAAGACTAACGTTTGAATCTGTCATCATAGATTGATAAGATAATCAGCTGCAAACATATGCTTCTCTTCAAGAAAAAGATGAAATACTCCAGAGGGTGGAACTGCGGGCCCAGAAGCTGGAGCCTTGAGACACAAAAGGTTATTTCTAGGCCTTGAGACCAATAACATTTACCCACTGGATTTCAAAATTGGGACTGGTAACTCCTTTCTTCCTTCCATTCTCTCTCTTTTGGAATGAGAACATCTGTAACTGGTACCCAAAGCCTATCTCATTGCTGTACTTTAGTAGAAGAGAATCTGTTTCCTAGTTCACAGGTCCACATATGGAGAGACATTTTGGCCCAGGTAGATCATACCCAGAGTCTCATTTATATATGATTTAGATAATTTAGATTATGCCATTTGGGACTTTTGAGCTGATGAGGTATAGATGAGACTCAGGACTTGATCTGATGCTGCAATGGATTGAAACTTTAGGGTGATGAGACAAGATAAATGTATTTTGCATGTAAGATAGATGTGAATATTTATGGGCCAGTGGATGGTGGTAGGCTGGACAATTGAACAATGGTCTCCCCAAAGATGCCAGGTCCTAATTCCTGGAACTCGCAAATGTTCCTAATTAGGAAAACTGGGGTATGATTAAGTTAGAATCTTGAGATGGTGAAATTATTCTGGATTATCTGGGTGTGCTAAAAATGCCATAGCATATATGCTTATAAGAGAAGCAGAGGGAGATTTGGAGATAGAAGGGGGGAAAAATGTGATCACCTCACCAGAAAGAGAGATTTGAAGGTATTGTGCTCTGACTTCCATCTTCAAGATGTGCCTCTAGGCACTGAAAAGGCCCAGGAATGCTGGCATTCCAGAAGCTGGAAGGGACAAGGAATGAATTCTCCACTAGAGCTTCTGGAATGAACATAGCCCTACAAACACCTTCATTTTAGCCAGGGATAATGACTTCTGACTACTGGCCTCTGGAATTGTGAGAGAATAGAGTCATGCTGTTTTAAGCCATCAAGTCTGTGGTAACTTACAGTACACAGGAAACAAATACACTGGTTATTCAGTTTCCTAATTACTATACCTTTTGAGAGGGCCCACACTGCAGGTGACAGCATCACTTTGCTATGTTTCTCAGATACCACTAAGAGTCTAGAGCTGTATAACTAGAATTCATATTATGGGATTATGTTATAAAAGCCTGTTAATTCTGTATTTTCATTACCCTTGGTTTCTAAAATCAGCATGTTACATTCTCTCAGCACTTTTTTTCCCTTTGAGAAGTATCCAAACATTTGTTAAATGTGAAAAAACAAAGGTGCAGATCATTCAAACTTTTTGTGGCTGTTTCTTGGAGCACCTCCCTGTGCCCTTCTAGTTCTCATTTGTGTTGCTGATCTAAAGCCAGAGTGACATATTTCCCTCACCTGTTTTGATCACTGAGAAAATAAAGTATTTTCAGACTAGGCCACAGGTCTAAGGGAAATGTCTTTCACAGGAGATCTCCAAACAATACATCAGTAAATTGCCTGGATTTTGGCCTGAAGTTTCATGAGTAAAAGCTCTTTTTTCTGGGTTCACAATCCTTTGTTCACTTCCCCTGATTGTATTCTGCTCTCTGGATCAATTGTTTTCTAATGTTTAGTCTCTCCTGTGTTGATTACATCTCTACCAAGCTTTCTAATCTCACCAAAAGCTACAAATCACAAAATTACTAGACAAAAATCAATCCTTTTTATGTATTTTAAAGTTACCAAACTGGCTCTTCTTATACTGCAACTGATCTATTTTATCTATACCGTTTTAAGATTTTAATGTAATATTTTAAAATCATGATAGTTTACATAAAAATCTAGAGATCAAAAAAAAAATCTTCTCTTGAAAAATCAGAAAATGAGGCAACACTGGATCTCCCCTTACTCACACTAATAATGGTCCTCTTTTAAATTAAATTTAAATTCTCTGTTTCACCATATTTATTTTTGGCCCATTACACTCATTTCTTGTAACTCCCTCTGCACTATAGAATTTTTTTTAACTGATGCTATGTACAAACAACAACCCCTTAAATTATATGGAACAAAGGTCACACCTATTTACAAGATTTTTCATCTCCTTCTTCATATAGTATTATGATCTTTTTTTGTTTGAATGAAACCTTCACGTTTATATCATTATAACTGTGTAAATACTGTTCATTACTGAACCACTTAGTTGATTTTGATTACATTTTCTTCCTTTTGTTTTCACTGGAGTTTATAATTGCCCTGTATCCTCTGTTTAATTTTACAGGTACTAACTCTAATTAATCCCCCAAATTCTCTCACAGAATTATGATTCTCCGCTCAATATGTTTAAACACATCAACTGGCCCATCAACTTAATTCTTCTTTTAACTGTCTCTTAAAGATAGTTCTTAATGCTTGCCTTCCTTCTCTCATCAAAGCTGTAACACTGAAGCCCTTATTGTCCTACTATTTAGTTTATTCTCGCCTTTCGTAGAGTACATCAGAGTACATCCTCCAGAAGTCCTCTGAGAAGTTATACATGTAAAGTAAAAAACTGTAGACCTTGAATGTCTTATGATATCATTATTGGATCTGGATTTCCATTTGGTTAGACCTAGACTTAGCTTTCGACTCTCTGAGATCTGTTACACCAGTTGTCACTGATCTATGTATGCTTTATCTTCCAAGATGTTCTTGTTTGTTTTTCCTTGTTCTTACTTTTCCCTTTTTTTTTTCCCTTGCAAGTTCATACCTCCAATACTTTTACAGTCATTTTAGTAAATTTTGGGTGAAAGAAGTGTCAAATGCATCTGCATAATCTGTAGTGTTTAATCAGAAACTTGGATAACTTTTGTAATCAGAAAAGAACAAATCTACTTCCATAAATAAGAAGGGTTTGGCTCTTTGTTGACCACTCCCTCCAAAAAAATTACTTTTAAAAATGTAATTATTAACTATATAGCCATTCTCTTATGAACTTTCTACCTGGTCAACTTAGAAGAATCAGTCTGTAAGCATGGGATCTGAGATGTGCTATATAATCCTGAGTAGGAACAGTTAAATGTCCATGATTAAGTTAAAAAAAAAAAAAGGAACAAGTCACAAATAATGTATTTGCCTGATACCACAACTCCTTTCCTAGTAATCAGGAACTTTTGGGAGTCTAAGAAAAACTAAAGACCAATCATGTCAGCATTTCTAGGCATGTTGATTAATCTCAGAGCAGCCAAAGTTGCAAAAGTACCTCAAACCTGTCTCAAAGTTTTGCTTCATTTTTATTTTATGAAACTCCTTCCTTGGTGTAATATTACATAATTTTCTTCAACCTTGGCTTGCTTCAGTACCTCGCCTTTGTCCTTGTATTAGTTTTCTATTGCTGCATAACAAATTGCTACAAACTTACCAACTCAAAACAACACCCATCTATTACTCTCAGTTATGTAGGTCAGAAGCAGAGCATAGTTCAGCTGGGTTCTTTGCTTAAGGTCTCACAAGGCCAAAACTAAGGTGTTCACTGGGCTGGGCTCTTATCTAGAAGTACTGGAGAAGAATCTGCTTCCAAGTTCATACAGCTTGATGGCTGAATTAAGTTTCTTGCTCATGTTAGGCTAATATCTTTGTTTCTTTGCTGGCTACAAACTGGGGATTCCTCTCATCTTCTCTCATCTTCTCCCTGTGAGTTCTTGATATTTTATAATATTTTATCCATAAGTACATACTAGACTACTAATGCTTAGGTCACTCTTTTATGTCTAACATAAATAGGACAACAGACAAATATCCAAAATTATGTAAGGAGAAACATAAAAGCATTTCAAGACAAGAGAAATACCTCCAGTTCAGCACAACTTAATCTCCAAATCTCTTTTGGATTAATGCTCAGTCTTTCAGAACCCCCCAACCTTTGAATTTTCCACCACTGTATCTGGACTTATGGGAAAAAAGGACTTATATGATCTTGGGATGGAAGAAAGCCAAAATTTCTTGAATTCAAACACAGATCCTGGGGCTGTTCTCTGGCCCTGCGAGTCTCTTGGTGTTTCTCTTTTGTTTGGTTATTGTTCATGCTCATCCTTTAGGAATCTTTTTTAAGATTTTATTTATTTATTTATTCATGAGACAGAGAGAGAGAGAGAGAGAGGAGGGGGAGAGGCAGAGACACAGGCAGAGGGAGAAGCAGGCTCCATGCAGGGAGCCCAATGTGGGATTCAATCCCAGGACTCCAGGATCACGCCCTGGGCTGAAGACAGGCACTAAACCACTGAGCCACCCAGGGATCCCTAGGAATCTTAAATTGAAGACAGCAGTTGATGAATTTACAGACTGTCTTCTCTTCTTGCTGTTTAGATTCCACTTGCTTTCTATGAGCACATCAGATGACCTTCCCAGAGATCCAGTTTTCCCATTGAGTTCCTGAACCAAGTAGCCTACTCTAAATCTCTCTCCTAAAATGCCACTTAGCCCCTGCCATGGCAACTCTCCTGTAGACTGCCTGCTAAGAGAATTCTCAGATAATTTCTGCATACCTATTGGGAGCAAGTGGAAACTTTCATGTCCTATTCAAACTGAATGGATTCAAGAGAGCTAAACTAAGACCTACATTTTCCTAATCACTGCTACTTGATCATCCTGTGTCAACAACCCTCTACCTGGGTTGGTGGAAGTGGAACCTTAAGATAAGTAATATCTTACCAAAATTTCGAATGTGAAAACAAAAGCCTCTCTGCCTTCAGTGTTCCCCTCAATTTTATTTTTTAATAAATTTATTTTTTATTGGTGTCCAATTTACCAACATACAGAATAACACCCAGTGCTCATCCCGTCAAGTGTCCCCCTCAGTGCCCATCACCCATTCACCCCCACCCCCCGTCCTCCTCCCCTTCCACCACCCCTAGTTCATTTCCCAGAGTTAGGAGTCTTTATGTTCTGTCTCCCTTTCTGATATTTCCCACACATTTCTTCTCCCTTCCCTTATATTCCCCTTCACTATTATTTATATTCCCCAAATGAATGAGAACATACACTGTTTGTCCTTCTCCGATTGACTTACTTCACTCAGCATAATACCCTCCAGTTCCAACCACGTTGAAGCAAATGGTGGGTATTTGTCGTTTCTAATGGCTGAGATATTCCATTGTATACATAAACCACATCTTCTTTATCCATTCATCTTTCGATGGACACCGAGGCTCCTTCCACAGTTTGGCTATTGTGGACATGGCTGCTAGAAACATCGGGGTGCAGGTGTCCCGGCGTTTCATTGCATCTGTATCTTTGGGGTAAATCCCTAACAGTGCAATTGCTGGGTCGTAGGGCAGGTCTATTTTTAACTCTTTGAGGAACCTCCACACAGTTTTCCAGAGTGGCTGCACCAGTTCACATTCCCACCAACAGTGTAAGAGGGTTCCCTTTTCTCCTCATCCTCTCCAACATTTGTGGTTTCCTGCCTTGTTAATTTTCCCCATTCTCAATGGTGTGAGGTGGTATCTCATTGTGGTTTTGGTTTGTATTTCCCTGATGGCAAGTGATGCAGAGCATTTTCTCATGTGCATGTTGGCCATGTCTATGTCTTCCTCTGTGAGATTTCTCTTCATGTCTTTTGCCCATTTCATGATTGGATGTTGTTTCTTTGGTGTTGAGTTTAATAAGTTCTTTATAGATTTTGGAAACTAGCCCTTTATCTGATACGTCATTTGCAAATATCTTCTCCCATTCTGTAGGTTGTCTTTTAGTTTTGTTGACTGTATCCTTTGCTGTGCAAAAGCTTCTTATCTTGATGAAGTCCCAATAGTTCATTTTTGCTTTTGTTTCTTTTGCCTTCGTGGATGTATCTTGCAAGAAGTTACTGTGGCCAAGTTCAGAAAGGGTGTTTCCTGTGTTCTTCTCTAGGATTTTGATGGAATCTTGTCTCACATTTAGATCTTTCATCCATTTTGAGTTTATCTTTGTGTATGGTGCAAGAGAGTGGTCTAGTTTCATTCTTCTGCATGTGGATGTCCAGTTTTCCCATCACCATTTATTGAAGAGACTGCCTTTCTTCCAATGGATCGTCTTTCCTCCTTTATCGAATATTAGTTGACCATAAAGTTCAGGGGCCACTTCTGGGTTCTCTATTCTGTTCCATTGATCTATGTGTCTGTTTTTGTGCCAGTACCACACTGTCTTGATGACCACAGCTTTGTAGTACAACCTGAAATCTGGCATTGTGATGCCCCCAGATATGGTTTTCTTTTTTAAAATTCCCCTGGCTATTCGGGGTCTTTTCTGATTCCACACAAATCTTAAAATAATTTGTTCTAACTCTCTGAAGAAAGTCCATGGTATTTTGATAGGGATTGCATTGAATGTGTAAATTGCCCTGGGTAACATTGACATTTTCACAATATTAATTCTGCCAATCCATGAGCATGGAATATTTTTCCATCTCTTTGTGTCTTCCTCAATTTCTTTCAGAAGTGTTCTATAGTTTTTAGGGTATAGATCCTTTACCTCTTTGGTTAGGTTTATTCCTAGGTATCTTATGCTTTTGGGTGCAATTGTAAATGGGATTGACTCCTTAATTTCTCTTTCTTCAGTCTCATTGTTAGTGTATAGAAATGCCACTGACTTCTGGGCATTGATTTTGTATCCTGCCATGCTACCAAATTGCTGTATGAGTTCTAGCAATCTTGGGGTGGAGGCTTTTGGGTTTTCTATGTAGAGTATCATGTCAACGGCGAAGAGGGAGAGTTTGACTTCTTCTTTGCCAATTTGAATGCCTTTAATGTCTTTTTGTTGTCTGATTGCTGAGGCTAGGACTTACAGTACATTCCCCTCAATTTTATATGAGCTATGTTAATCTTGAGATTTCAGCCCAAAGAATAAACTTGAAGAACTCAATGATTTACCATCATCCTCTTTCCTGCTTCTATTCTCCTTTCTCCTACCCAATTTTCTAAACTTCACCTTTCCAGTTCCTTTAAACCACTGTTTTTCAAACTAGAATTGATGACTCTTTAGTTTGCTATGAAATAAATTAATGAATCAATCTGCATTTTTGAATGGAATGGACAGAAAATATCAGAATGTAACTCAAGTAATTAGATATGATTTATTCATAAAACTTTTGGGGTGTGTGTGTGCATTGTGTTGCAATATAAAATACATTACTAACTATTGGTTATGGTCAAAATCATTTGAAAAACACTATTATAAATATAACCTAAATTCTGTCTGCCCTAGGTACATAAGAAAATATTATTATCTAATTAACCAGAACTACTTCATGATATGTTAAAGGAGATTTTTTTTATTGTGGTGAATATACTACAATAAATATTTACCATTTAACCATTTTAAGGTGTACAGTTCCGTGGCATTAAGTTTATGCACATTGTTGTATAATCATACCACCCACCATCCACATTCAGAACATTTTTACTCTTCCCAAACTAAAACTCTATATCAATTAAATAATACCTCCCTATTCCTCCTTTTTCCAGCTCTAGGCAACCACCCTCCTTTATTTCTCTATGAATTTGATAACTCTGGGTATCTCACATAAGTGGAATCATACAGTATTTATTCTTTTGTGACTGGCTCATTTCACTTAGCAAAATGTCCTCAAAGTTAATCCATATCATAACAAATATTTGAATTTTCTTTCTTCAATTCTAGTTATACATTCCTAAAAAGACATAATGAAATTCAAAATTTGTTTCCCTTAAAAAAGATGTTAAGAAAGATATATGCTCCCATATTCTAAGATCCTTTGATTAGCATCAAATGGTTTAAGTAAAATTAATTTATTCCTCATCTTACTGGATTTACTTGTGGGTAAAAGTGAGTGATAATTATTTGGAACCATCACTGACCATGGTAACTTTACCCATTTACAGACTCTCTCCTGTTTGAAACTATACATTTACAGGAGCATGCAGAGGAAGGCAGAGCTAGCATTTACCAGTCTGTCTTTACCAACTCTTCCAAAGAGATGATGTGTTTCCCAGACTTCCCATATCCTGATGACTTCCCCAACTTTATGCATAATAGCAAGCTCCAGGAATACATCACTGTATTTTCCAAAGAAAAGAACCTCCTGAAATACATACAATTTAAGGTAAGATGCTATCAAAAGATTAGTTAAAGGCATAATTGTGAGGAATTCTATATTTATTAGCAGATTCATGTTTGTTCCTTTCAGCATTTCTTCCTTGTTTGTCAATATTTTTAACAGTGTGGCCTCTCTGACCCTAGATTTAGAAAATACATTGGAAATTTACAAAATACCACATACAGTTATTAGAGCAAAATGCCATTAACTTAGAAATCAATAAAAAAATAAATGTAAAATAGCCATGGATTTATAATTTCAAAACTTTTTTTCTAAAAAATTTATGGCTCAAAGAAGAAATTGCATTGGAAATTTTGATATTTAGATCTGAATGATAAATTATACACATCAATCTTGTGAGATGAATAAAGACCAAAACTTTCATGAAAATTTCATGCTTATGTTAGAAAATAATAAAGGCTTAAAAACTAATAAGATGAAGAAATTAGGAAAAGAAATGTATAATAAACTCAAAAGAACATAGAATGAACAAGATAGTAAAGAGAAATTACTAAAATTGAAAAACCATATTAAGAAGATAGAAAGTTCATCCTTTGAGAAGCCAAAAAAATAGACAAATAGCTGATAATTTGAGGAAAAAAGAACAAAGACACAAATTATATTAGAAATGAAAAAATGGATAAAACTGATATAAATGAAATAAAATATGTAGTAAGAATACTATAAAAGTGTTTTCCAAATAATGTTTTTAAATTGGTTAAATTTAAAGTTGTTTTTTTTTAAGTTGCCAAAACTCACACAAAAAGAAGTAGAAAGTCTGAATAGTCCTTTGATAACTTAAAATTCTTTTGACTCAGAAACAAACTAAAATTTTTCCCACTAAAAAAACTCCAGAGGTAATTCCAAATTTTCAGCAAATTATTTCAATATTTTATAAACTCTTCCAGAGACTAAAAATTAAATTATAACTTCTAAACTTATTCTATGATATTATAACCTTGACATCAAAAGCAAACAAAAATAAGAGGAAAATTACAGGCATATTTCCCTCAAGAAAATTAGTGGAGGAGCACCTGGGTAGCTCAGTGGTAGAGCATCTACCTTTCGCTCAGGTCGTGATCCAGGGGTCCTGAGATCAAGTCCCACACTGGGCTCCCCACAGGAAGCCTGCTTCTTCCTCTGCCTATGTCTCTACCTCACTCTCCATGTCTCTCATGAATAAATAAATAAAATCTTTTTAAAAAAAGAAAGGAAAAAAGAAAATTGGTGGAAAACACTTCAAAAATGAATATAACAAAATATTTTTTAAAAATTAGGTGTCTTGGGATCCCTGGGTGGCGCAGCGGTTTGGCGCCTGCCTTTGGCTCAGGGCGCGATCCTGGAGACCCAGGATCGAATCCCACGTCGGGCTCCCGGTGCATGGAGCCTGCTTCTCCCTCTGCCTATGTCTCTGCCTCTCTCTCTCTGTCTCTCTCTGTGACTATCATAAATAAATAAATTAAAAAAAAAATCTATCTGATCTTTAAAAAAAAAAAAAAATTAGGTGTCTTCATTGAGTTGCTTTTGGGCTAAGGATACAGAATATTTTAATATCATCAAATATAAAGATGTAATTCAGTACAAAACTCTGTCAGTCACAAGAAGAAAACAATACATTTACCAAATTCTGAAAAAGCATTAAACAAAACTTAACATTCATTTCTACCTAAAAGAACAATAAAAGAAAAGCAAAGAAAATAAACTCTCACCAGTATAAGATTACAAAGGAATTTTCTTGATCCATAGAAACATACAAATATTATCTTAAAATCTGGTAGCCACTAGCCAAAAAATGAGATGTGCCATAAGCATAAAGTACACAATTGATCTCAAAGTCTAATTATGAAAGAGAATATAATATACCTATTAATGATGTTTATTTTGGTTACTTGTTAAAACAGTAATATATCAGAATTAAATTATACATTTTCTTCTTTTTTAATGTTATTACTAGAACATTTTAAATTACATACATTGCTCATATTATATTGCTACTGGACAGTGCTGTGCTAAAGAGTAGAGTTAGAATAATTTCCTTTAAAATCCAGAAAAAGACAAGGATACCTATAATTACAGCTTCTTTTCAATAGTCTTAAAAAATTTAAGGGACAGTACAATAAGTAAAGAAAATAAAAGGAATGACAACTAGATAAAAAAGTAACATTCATCACAGATGATATGACTTTCTGCGTGGAAAACCCAAAAGATTCTACAGACAAATTACTAGGTTTAATAATGATTAATATAAAAATTTTAGGCAAGATGGTAGTATATTAGATCAAGATATACAAATCAATTGCAGTTCTGTAAACCAGCAGCAAAAACCAGAAACTATAATCCAAAAAAGAACCACTTACCATAGCATAAATAAATGAATAATCCCAGAGTTATTCTAAATAAGTGACATGCAAGATTTTATGGATTCAAAAGTGTCTGTTTTATTATAGTTCATAAATAATATGCATTATATGGATATGTATACATTTATTGTATAATATTTATGAAATACTATACATAATAAAGTTTATAAAAACAATTTGTACCAAATAGAGATTCTTTATCCAATATAATCAGAAGAATTGAAAAAAATAATTTTGATGAGGGAGCACACCAACCAACAGACAGCTGATCAGCTGTGAATAAATATTTATTGATAATCTAATCCAGTGCTACTCAGTATATAGGCCAAATAGCATCAACATTTCCTGGGAGCTCATTAGAAATCAAATTTTCATGCCCTATGCCAGACCTAGTGACTCAGAACATTTAAGACTGTGGCCTGGGAATCTGTACTTTAACAAGCTTCCCAGGTAGTCTTTATGCACACTAAAATTTGAGAACTCATTCTCTGAATATAGACAATATCTTTCACTTTAAGGCAACAATAATATTAAAAACAAAATGGCTAAAGAGATATGTTAGGAAGTAGTTGTTACTATAAAAATGATTTGCCATTGCCACCAGATTACTTAGTACATGTGGTACATGCCACTTCTAAGCTATGATTGAATTCACTGTCATAGCTCCAAGAGGGGAGTCACTCAGCACAGAACACATTGGTTATGCACAAGAAGCATATAGGGAAAAAAATATATATATTTTATGTGGACACCTGGGTGGTTCAGTCAGTTAAGTGTCTTCCTTGAGCTCAGGTTATCACCACGTCCAGCTCCCTGCTCAGCAGGGAGTCTGCTTCCCCCCCTTACCCCCTGCTTGTGCTCATTGTCTCTCTCTCTTTGCTCTCTCTCTCTCTCTTTAAATAATCAAATAAAATCATAAAATATGGGGATCCCTGGGTGGCGCAGCGGTTTGGCGCCTGCCTTTGGCCCAGGGCGCGATCCTGGAGACCCGGGATCGAATCCCACGTCGGGCTCCCGGTGCATGGAGCCTGCTTCTCCCTCTGCCTGTGTCTCTGCCTCTCTCTCTCTCTCTCTGTGACTATCATAAATAAATAAAAATTAAAAAAATAAAATAAAAAATAAAATAAAATCATAAAATATATACATTTACCATTTAATGTTTTGATTTTTTGAATTTTGAATTCATAATATGTATCTTAATAATGGATATTTTTCTTAAGCCACTGTTAAGGATTTTTTCCATACAATTTGATCAAGTTGGTGCCAAATGTACCTGTAGCATAGAAAAGTCTTTCTGTATTTCTTTTAGACACTTGTTTGCAGTGTAAATAAACGTCCTGATTTCTCAGTCTCTGGCCAATGGGATATTACCACTGAAAGGGATGGTAAAAGAGAATCAGCTATCTTTGATGCTGTACTGATTTGTTCTGGACACCATGTGTACCCCAATCTACCAGAAGAGTCCTTTCCAGGTAAGGCTGAAATTTAGGCTACCATCTACACATGTGGCATCAATTAATATCTTGATAATGTCATATATATGTTTCTATTGTATGTAATAGATGTAGACTGTTAAAGTTCCATGTTATTGTGACTGCGTCCACCCACAAGTCTTATATAGTAGTTTTTTAAATGGAAACCAAATGACTCATATGTTTCCTACTTTTCACTCAGGACTAAAACTTTTTAAAGGCAAATGTTTCCACAGCCGGGAATATAAGGAACCAGGAATATTCAAGGGGAAGCGAGTTCTGGTGATAGGCCTGGGGAATTCAGGCTGTGATATTGCTACGGAACTCAGCCACACAGCTGAACAGGTACACTTCTCAGGCACTCAGAAACTATCTTTAAAGAAACAATCATTTAAAAGGTGTGATAAGAAACAAGGGAAGGGGAATGATGCGCAGGGTTCTTAATAGGAAGACTAAGTAGTGTTTCATATATCTCAACTTCCTTCCATAACCTAAAGTTAGGGGTTTTTTAGATTTATTTATTTATTTATTATTTATTTATTTATTTGAGAGAGAATGTATATGTGCAAGTGGGGGGAGAAGCAGAGGGAGAGGGAAAGAATCTCAAGCAGACTCCCTGCTGAGCGGGAGCCCCATGTGGGGCTGGATCCCATGACCCTGAGATCATGACTTGAGCTGAAATCAAGAGTCCAACCTGACTGAGCCACCCAGGTGCCCCAACAAGTGAGGTTTTGAATAGTTTGCTATGACAAAGGCAGGATATCAGCAAGGAGTGATGCCATTCAACAATCTTCTTCAGGACATTCAGTGTCTAATGTGTCTGATCAATCCCTCCAAAACTAGTGCAGATTTAGGTTTAAGGTTATGACTCTGACGCTCTTGAATTAAGTCCTTCAACCCCTCTGAGTGTCAGTTTTCTCAAAAAGATAAATAAAACAGATAAAAATAGAACCTACTTTTTGAGCTTGGTAAGGAGTTAAAGGATTTAAACATTATTTCAGCAACATAGAGTTCTATATTCATTCATACATGAAGATGGTCATCCCATAGTTCTTTGTTGACTAGCTATTATGTTGCCAAGCACTGGCTTGGGTGCTGGAGAGAAAGTGGAGAACAAAGCACACATGATACCCGCCCTGAACTCAGAGTCTGGTGTAGCAAATGGGTATTAAATAAGTTAACAAATAATATGAAAATTGTGAAAAGTGCTAGTAAAAAAAGAAAAGGCATGCTGTCAGAGTGGATAATAAGGGTGACCTGCTTCAGACAAGGAAGTGGGAAAGCCCTTTCCAGCTGATGACATTTAAGCTGAGAACTAAAAATTGAGAAAGGGGTTCAGGTCCGAAGAGGACTCCAGGAAGAAGGTTTTGAAGCAAGAAGAAGCTTAGAGTCTCAGAAAACTGTAAAAATACCCCTTTGCTGCAACTCATTGGGCCTGGAAAAAAATGGTATGAGGAGAAACTGGAGAGGATATGGAGAAGATGTGAAACAGGGCCCATAAAGGGATGGGAAGGAGTTTGAACAAACATCACCTAATAGCTTTGGGAGATTGTTTAGGGACTGACTGCCTAGAAGCCCACAGACAGGAATCTTATCTCTAGAGGCTATGCCTACTGATGTCACACTGGACATCCCCAACATAGGTCCATTTTAAATGATGGTATTACAATCAGTGAAGCAAGGAGATCATGACAGGACAAGTAGTATAAAGAAATATTCTTGAGGGGAGGGGCAAGATGGCGGAAGAGCAGGGTCCCCAAATCACCTGTCCCCACCAAATTACCTAGATAACCTTCAAACCATCCTGAAAATTTACGAATTCGGCCTGAGATGTAAAGAGAGACCAGCTGGAACGCTACAGTGAGAAAAGTTCGCGCTTCTATCAAGGTAGGAAGACGGGGAAAAAGAAATAAAGAAACAAAAGGCCTCCGAGGGGGAGGGGCCCCGCGAGGAGCCGGGCTGAGGCCGGGGCGAGTGTCCCCAGGACAGGAGAGCCCCGTCCCGGAGGAGCAGGAGCTGCACCAACCTTCCCGGGCGGGCGGAAAGGGGCTCGCAGGGAGTTGGAGCAGGACCCAGGAGGGCGGGGATGCCCTCGGGCTCCCGGGGACACTAACAGACACCTGCGCCCCGGGAGAGTGCTCCGAGCTCCCTAAGGGCTGCGGCGGGGACCGACCGGAGCAGCTCGGAGGGGCTCGGGAGCGGCTCCAGGGAGGGAGCTGCGGGGCGGGAGCGCGAATCCCACAGCGCAGGCCCCGGAGCACAGGGCGCCGGGACACAGCCCAGGATCCCGCCTCCCCCGGGACAGGCAGAGGCCGGGAGGGCCCAGGACAGCGAGGACGCTCCTGCCCCGAGCTGAGCAGATCAGCGGCCCCGCCCCGGAGCCTCCAGGCCCTGCGGACGGAGAGCCGAGAGCCCCGAGCCCCGTAGTTCCTGCGGAGGCTGAATCCAGGCTTCCAGAGTTGCCATAGCAACTGCAACTGTTCCTCCTGAGACCTCACGGGGTAAACAACCCCCGCAGAGCCCGGCAGCAGGCAGGGGCAGAGCAGCTCCCCCAAGTGCTAACACCTGAAAATCAGCACAGCAGGCCCCTCCCCCAGAAGACCAGCTGGACGGACCAGTGATACTCCCCCGTGTTCCAATACAACTTGTTTCTGGCCACTCTGCACTGAGCAAAATGACTAGAAGGAAAACCTCACTTCAAAAGAAAGAATCAGAAACAGCCCTCTCTCCCACAGAGTTACAAAATCTGGATTACACTTCAATGTCAGAAAGCCAATTCAGAAGCACCATTATACAGCTACTGGTGGCTCTAGAAAAAAGCATTAAGGCCTCACGAGACTTCATGACTGCAGAATTTAGATCCAATCAGGCAGAAATTAAAAATCAATTGAATGAGATGCAATCCAAACTAGAAGTCCTAACGACGAGGGTTAACGAGGTGGAAGAACGAGTGAGTGACATAGAAGACAAGTTAATGGCAAAGAGGGAAACTGAGGAAAAAAGAGATAAACAATTAAAGAACCATGAAGACAGATTAAGGCAAATAAATGACACTCTAAGGAAGAAAAACCTACGTTTAATTGGGGTTCCCGAGGGCGCCGAAAGGGACAGAGGGCCAGAATATGTATTTGAACAAATCCTAGCTGAAAACTTTCCCAATCTGGGAAGGGAAACAGGCATTCAGTTCCAGGAAATAGAGAGATCCCCCCCTAAAATCAATAAAAACCGTTCAACACCTCGACATCTAATAGTGAAGCTTGCAAATTCCAAAGATAAAGAGAAGATCCTTAAAGCAGCAAGAGACAAGAAGTCCCTGACTTTCATGGGGAGGAATATTAGGGTAACAGCAGACCTCTCCACAGAGACGTGGCAGGCCAGAAAGGGCTGGCAGGATATATTCAGGGTCCTAAATGAGAAGAACATGCAACCAAGAATACTTTATCCAGCAAGGCTCTCATTCAAAATGGAAGGAGAGATAAAGAGCTTCCAAGACAGGCAGGAACTGAAAGAATATGTGACCTCCAAACCAGCTCTGCAAGAAATTTTAAGGGGACTCTTAAAACTCCCCTTTAAGAAGAAGTTCAAGTAACTCTGAATGTGAATGGGCTTAATGACCCCATCAAAAGGCGCAGAGTTTCAGACTGGATAAAAAAACAGGACCCATCTATTTGCTGTCTACAAGAGACTCATTTTAGACAGAAGGACACCTACAACCTGAAAATAAAAGGTTGGAGAACCATTTACCATTCAAATGGTTCTCAAAATATACCCTAAAAACTACAGAACACTTCTGAAAGAAATTGAGGAAGACACAAAGAGATGGAAAAATATTCCATGCTCATGGATTGGCAGAATTAATATTGTGAAAATGTCAATGTTACCCAGGGCAATTTACACGTATAATGCAATCCCTATCAAAATACCATGGACTTTCTTCAGAGACTTAGAACAAATTATTTTAAGATTTGTGTGGAATCAGAAAAGACCCCAAACAGCCAGGGGAATTTTAAAAAAAGAAAACCATATCTGGGGGCATCACAATGCCAGATTTCAGGTTGTACTACAAAGCTGTGTTCATCAAGACAGTGTGGTACTGGCACAAAAACAGACACATAGATCAATGGAACAGAACAGAGAACCCAGAAGTGGACCCTGAACTTTATGCTCAACTAATATACGATAAAGGAGGAAAGACGATCCACTAGAAGAAAGACAGTCTCTTCAATAAATGGTGCTGGGAAAATTGGACATCCACATGCAGAAGAATGAAACTGGACCACTCTTTTGCACCATACACAAAGATAAACTCAAAATAGATGAAAGATCTAAATGTGAGACAAGATTCCATCAAAATCCCAGAGAAGAACTCAGGCAACACCCTTTTTGAACTTGGCCACAGTAACCGGAGAAGGACAAACAGTGTATGTTCTCATTCATTTGGGGAATATGAATAATAGCGAAAGGGAATATAAGGGAAGGGAGAAGAAATGTGTGAGAAATATCAGAAAGGGAGACAGAACATAAAGACTTCTAACTCTGGGAAATGAACTAGGGGTGGTGGAGGGGGAGGAGGGGGGGGGTGGGGGTGAATGGGTGACGGGCACTGAGGGGTACACTTGACGGGATGAGCACTGGGTGTTATTCTGTATGTTGGTAAATTGAACACCAATAAAAATTAATTTATAAAAAAAAAAAAAAAAAAAAAAAAAAAAAAAAAGAAATATTCTTGTTTACCTGTTCAAAGCACTATACTAGACAGCATAGAGACACAAAGAAGTCAACTACATGGCACCTCTCCTCAAGGAATTTAAAATCTACTTGGGAAAATAACATATTATATGATCTGATATAAATAAATGTAATTTCAAAAGTTAAGTAGAAAGTCTAATAACAATACAAAAGCTGCCACTGGAACAAAGGATACATAGGTCATTCAAGAACTAAATGCTCTGATTATGGAACTGCAGGCCTCACAATGGGAGTAGACCAGACCATTCCTTGAAGGATATTTATAAATTATATGGTTGAAGAGGTGACAAAGGGTATTCTTGGAAGGGAGAATGGCATAAGCAAAGGTATGGAGACAAGAGAACAGCATATTTCACTATTGTGGTTCATCTTGCTGGAATGGAGGTATATAACAAGAATAACAGTTTGTATAATGCATTATGGTACTGCAGTGCCTGCATATAAATGTGCTCCTTTGATTGTGGCAAGAAAGTAGACCAGGTTTTATTTTGTCCATTTTACAGAAAGGATAACTGAGGACTAGAAATGTCAATTGTCTTCTTAAAAGTCATAGAGGAAATTAATGAAGTGTGTAGAAGACTAAACACCAAATATGATTCCAAGGAGCAGAGTAGCTATAGGAATTGTGAGAGGAGGGTCATCTGGGTGGCTCAGTGGTTGAGTATCTGCCTTTGATTCAGGTCGTGATCCTGGGGTCCTGGGATTGAGTCCTGCATTGGGCTCCCTACAGGGAGCCTGTTTCTCCCTCTGCCTATGTCTCTGCCTGTGTGTGTGTGTGTGTGTGTGTGTGAGAGAGAGAGAGAGAGAGAGAGATGAATAAATAAATAAAATATTTTAAATAATTAATTAATTAAAAATAAAAATAAAAAAGGAATTGAGAGAGGAAGAATGGAGTCAAGTTGCATCATATCCTTTAAGGCACTGAATGACAGGATAAAGTATTCTAATTTCTTTATAAATAATGGTAAATCATTTCAGCTTCTTGAGCTAAGGAAAAATATGATGAAACCATAGTTTTAAGAGATTCATCCATTAGTTGTATATATGATAAATTAGGGAAAAGAAAATCAATTTCAGAGGCTCTCAACAAGTTGATCCTCTAGTCTCTCCTTTGCTTGGCTTCCCTAAAAAAAAAAAAAAAAAAAAAAAAAAAAAAAAAACCTTGGAAATGGCTTTATATATAAAAATTCTTTTTAAAAAATGCCTAAATACCTCCACTGTTAGGGATTATCATGATAGAAGGGGAGGAAAGGAACACATTCTCCGTGTCAGGCAATGGTGGTCATACTGCATGGTTAGCACACTGCATTACATCTCACACAGATTTGATGTGGCCAGTACTTATTATCTCCATTTTACAAATAAGAGAACTGAATATTTTAGAGAAGTTAAAGGAATTTTCCCCAAAATACATAATTAGTAAGTAACAGAGCCAGGATTTGAGCTTATGATTTTCTGATGCTGAAGTTCTTGCCTTCTTTCAGGATGGGAAAAGGCATTTTAAGTCAAAATGCCTACTTTGGGTCATAATTGCCTGATTGTAAACAAAGGTCATCAGATAAGCACTAAAGGAAATGTGATGAGAATTCAGTTATCAGTCACCTCCAACAGAGAAGATAACAGGATCATTGGTCCTAAGATGTAGACTGGAGTGCAGGAAGTTTATTTGGGACTGCTCTCTGTATGAATACCTTTGAGGCAAGGGAAGAAAGTTACCCTCTACCCTACATTGAAGCTATCCTTCTGAATTGTCCTTCTGAATTGTTCCAAGTTGGGGTGATACATAGGACCTTTATATTCCCACATCAAACAGTCACTGAAGGGAGGGAATCCAGAAAAACAATAAGACTTTGGGTAAGATGCTCCCTTTTCAATGAAGCAACTCTCAAAGAGGGCTAACAGCTGAGGGATGCCTTCGGGCAACACTCCCAGGAGCTGGTGTAATAATTCCATTCCAAAAGTCAGATCTGAGGGACAAACCACCGTACGCACCACAAATGGTCACTACTTTAACGGTTAAATTACTGTTTTTTTTTAAGGTCATCATCAGTTCCAGAAGTGGCTCCTGGGTGATGAGCCGGGTCTGGGATGATGGTTATCCATGGGACATGATGTTCATCACTCGATTTGAAACCTTCCTCAAGAACAGCTTGCCAACAATCATCTCTGACTGGTGGTACATGAAGCAAATGAATGCAAGATTCAAGCATGAGAACTATGGCTTGATGCCTTTAAATGGGTAATACAGAGTTAAATATGATGTTCACACTAACTTTTATTTCAGTGTTAACAACTCACAATGTGTTGTAACTCCCAAACCAATCAAAATAATATTAGTGAAATAATCATGTCTCACATTTCAGAGGATGAAGAACTGCAAAAATTAAGAGTGATTTCCTGTTTCACAATCATCCTTACCAGATTTGTACAGCTGGAAAGTTATATAATACATCATAATTAGGCCCTAGAGCAAAGATAATAATAGTTAACATGTTTTAAGCATTTAGTGTGACTTAGCAAGGCTCTGACATGCATTATCTCATTTTATCCTCACAATGACTATGAAGAGTTTCTATTATAATCCCCATTTTATTTTATTTATTTTTTTAATAAATTAATTTTTATTGGTGTTCGATTTACCAACATACAGAATAACACCCAGTGCTCACCCCGTCAAGTGTCTCCTTCAGTGCCCGTCACCCATTCACTCCCCACCCCCCGCCCTCCTCCCCTTCCACCACCCCTAGTTCATTTCCCAGAGTTAGGAGTCTTTATGTTGTCTCCCTTTCTGATATTTCCCACACATTTCTTCTCCCTTCCCTTATATTCCCTTTCACTATTATTCATATCCCCCAAATGAATGAGAACATACACTGTTTGTCCTCCGATTGACTTACTTCACTCAGCATAATACCCTCCAGTTCCATCCACGTTGAAGCAAATGGTGGGTATATAATCCCCATTTTAAAGATGAGAAAACTGAGGTTCAATGTGGTGAATAATTTTACCAAAGTCCCATAGTTAGAAGGTAAAAGCAATTTTCAAAATAAGCCCAGATCTGGTGACTCCAGAGCCGCTCACTCTTAGCCACCTTGCTCTACTGCTTCTCACTTCATGACAAAGTTCAATTAAGAAAAGCAGGACTGTCCCTGTTCTACACTCTTATCACCCACTCTTAAGGGAGTCCTTAATGCCTACATCTTCAGCCTCCTCCTCATTCTTTTCTATAAAATCCCCTGAGACATATCCTTCAGACACATAAGAAATTACTTTGACAAGGGGTGAAAAATCCAAATTATAAACTGTTTATATCCAAGTTGACTTATTCAACTAATATTTATTTAGCATTTATTATGTGTCAGGTCCTATATTAAGCCCTATGACTATAGTTGTGAACAAAACACACAAAATCCCTCTTTTTCTAAGTTTACTTCTAGTAGTGGGAGATAGACAGGAGACAAATAGCAGAAGATCATATGTTGATATGTACTAGGGAGAAAAGAACAAAGCAGGCAGAGGTAATGAGGAGTGCTGCTAGCATCCCCAGAGGAGGCCTCATTGAAGAGGAGACTTTTAAGTAAATTCCTGAAGGAGCTAAGGAAATAAGCCAGGAGAATGTCCAGGGGAAAGTAACCCAGAGGAAACAGTTAGGACATTGCCTCTTCAGGGCCAAGATTAGCATGTTCAGTGGCCTTCCCTCCCTGGGGAAAAGAGGTCAGGGAGAGAAGCAGGAGATGAAATAAAAAGATATCAAAATGGCCAGATGGGGTTAGGCCTTGTAAGCCATTGTAAGGACTCTTGTTTCTACTTTGAATGTAATGGGCATCTGAGCAAGCCAGGGACAAGACCTAAGTTAATCTGAAGAAATCACTCTGGAGCTGTGGTCATCATTCAGTGTATAGGGGTAGGTTAAGGAAGAAAGTGAAAAGAATAGGTAAAAGGCTATTGTCAAAAACCCAGGTGACAGAGGTTGGTGGCTTGGACTAGGATTATTAGCAGCAAATGCTCAGAAGTGATAAAATATATACCCAGATTTGGGATATATTTTGAAGGTAAACACAAATAGAAGTTTGTTAGATTGGATAACAGATGTGAGAATAAGAAAGGAATCAGCGTCCTCCAGACTTCTGATCTGAGCAAGGATGCAAAGATGGACTTGACAGTTACTGGGATGTGGAAGACCACAGGAGGAGGGAACTTTAGTTTTAAATATATCAAAGTTAGAATGCCAACTAGTCATCATAATAGAAGAATGCTGAGAAACCTAGGGACACACAAGACAGAAGACAGATTGAAACCCTAGGTTAAAAATGTGTATTCACCAGAATATAGGCAGGACTTTAAGAAAAGAAACCAGATGACATCCCTTGAATAGTGAATGTAGATGAAGAATACAAAAGGTCTGAGTGCTGAGTCTGGGGCATGTCCTTGTTCAAAGGTCAGGAGAGGAGGAGAATTTAGCAGGACACACTGAGAATGAATAGTAGGTGGGTAGGAAAGGAATAGAGAGAGAAGTGATAACCTGGAAGCAAAATAAAATAGTGTTTCAAGAAGGAGGAGCCATCAACCATGTCAAACACTGCTGGTCAGTTGAATACAAAGAGAAGTGACGGTGAATCATTGGATCTGGCAGTTTGAGGATCCTGGTGGCCTTGACAAGAGCAGTTTCAAGGTGACAGTGGGGCCAAAAGTCTGATGGCAACAGGTAATTCTCACAGTTGAATCCAGCCTTTTTCCAACCAGGATTGCAGCCCATCTCATTGTCTGGCCCAGTTTCCTCTGAGGTGGACTCTCCCTGTGGCTTTCTCTCTTGGTTGCCATAGTAATCTAGGAGCAAAGCTTTTTTTCTGCAGTGTTATTCACATTCACCCCAAAGTTCATATTTGTCTGTACTCACTAGAGATAAGTGCTGAACAAAAAATCATCCAAAGCTCTCCTTTCCAGATTTTCACTGACCAAAGATTCAAACTGGCCCCCTCCTTCTTCTGGCCTATATAAATCTCTGGCACTCCCTCCCTCACCTGACTTGTGCCTTTGTTTACAGGGGCCTCACACTTCACCCTCTATCCAAGAGCTCACCCAAGATCTTTGTATTATTTTGGTCTCCCAATGACCAGAAGTGGACATAACAGTTATTGTCAATCTGAGGGAGAAAGATGAGGCAAGAGAAATTGAGAAACTTTAATTTGATCAAGGTTCACAGTTAATAAGAACTGAAGAAAAAAATCCAAATACCCAGGTACTCTGATTTAGGATCTTTCCTGATATAACTTTAATGTCTTGGGTGCTGACTCTGGGATATGGAGCTCTGTGGGAGAGAAGAGAAAGATCACAAGAAATAGAGAAATGGTTGGCAAAAGGCAACTCATCTTACTTCACAATACTGCCTTACTTCAGTTTTGTTCTTCAACCATACTGGAGACACTCCATGGAATAAGAAAAAAAGCTTTGGTAGCTTTCTCCTCCCTTATTAATTGATTATTAGTTATTACGGACCAAAAAACCAAAAAGGTAATATTACCATTCTCTATTTTCCTTACAGAACCCTGAGAAAAGAACCTGTGTTTAATGACGAGCTCCCGGCTTGCATTCTGTGTGGCACGGTGTCCATTAAGCCTAATGTGAAAGCATTCACTGAGACTTCAGCCATTTTTGAGGATGGGACAGTGTTTGAGGCCATCGATTGTGTCATTTTTGCAACAGGCTATAGTTATGCCTACCCCTTCCTTGATGAGTCCATCATTAAGAGCAAAAACAATGAGATCACCTTGTTTAAAGGTATTTTCCCTCCTAAATTGGAAAAACCGACCATGGCAGTGATTGGTTTTGTCCAGTCCCTTGGGGCTACCATTCCCACAACTGATCTGCAAGCCCGCTGGGCAGTACAAGTAATAAAAGGTAAGTAAACAAAGAAGATAATTGATGGGGAAGATGGATGCCAATGAGAATGCCTTTGAGTCTTTGTAAAACCAAGAATCCTAATAACAGGGAGGAAATCCTAGGTCCTACCCAGTTTTGAATCTATAATTCTGTATTTTTGGTACTTTTATAAGCAATTAAAAACATCACATAGGATTATCATATGCAATAGTACAGAATATTATTCAAAGAGTATTTTGTGATTTATAATTCCTTAGAGCTATTGACTTTTATTAAACCTAAGAACACTAGAGCTGATGGTCTTAAATGCATGATAATTTTATAAAACTATGTTATATAATTACATATATAGTTAAATAGAATGACATTGCTTCAAAGGTTAATAAGAGAACATGTTTTCAAGCCAGCACCCAGCCAACTTCAAATATTCACAGTCATAGAAAAAAATCATGATTTCTGGAAAGTCAGTGTCATTTCTGCCCTTTTTCCCTGCCATATGTCAAATAAGAATGAACAGTGGAGCATTAGAAGCAGAAAGTATGGGCAGCCCCGGTGGCCCAGTGGTTCAGCAACGCCTTCAGCCCAGGGTGTGATCCTGGACACCTGGGAGGGAGTCCCAAGTCGGGCTCCCTGCATGGAGTCTGCTTCTCCCTCTGCCTGTGTCTCTGTCTCTCTCTCTCTCTCTGTGTGTCTGTTATGAATAAATAAGTAAAATCTTTTAAAAAGTCAAAAAAAAAAAGCAGAAAGTATAGTGCAATAGATGATCAGTCTCTAAGGTAGACAAGTTCCTGTATTAAAAAATAATAACTGCAACAATAAACTTGACTGGGATCAGGCAAGGAAAGCAAGCAGCCTCCTCCAGCAGAAGGTACGAGGATCAGATTCACATTAAGGTTTGAATGCAGTTGTATAAAGATTCAGATCATAAGACTAAAAGTCCATGGTTATAGAACAAAAAGGTGTTAAAGTTCAATGTGCAAAGTTTGGTCCGAGAGGTATAAAACTTCTGGAAAAGGGATCTTAGCAGGCCTACTTCCTCTGAAGCCATATATAAGGCTTCTCGTCCTACCTGACTTGCTGGGATTTAAATGTCCTTTTTCTGTAGGAGGTCAGAACCTGCCACTATGTATACTGAGACATTTTTCATTACCAGGCTATCATGAACATCCTTACAGTTGTGTATATCAATGGATCCCTTTAAATTTCCTTTACTCTTTCCTCCAAGGCAAGAATGTGTTACAGAGTAAATGTTGCACCAGTAGGGCAACAGCCAGGAAGGGGGTGGCATAAAATTCCACTCAGGAAGAAGTAAGCTTAGGCCCAGGGAGACTGTCATTAAAGGGTAGGACACTTACTCCTTTAGGGTAAGTTGTAACCTGGGCTCTGAAGAAAGGAGACAATGTAGAGACCCAATCAATAGAGCACTGATATATGAGTCAAAGACTCAGCCTTAGGGGAAATGGGTGATAAGGCAAATAATCCAATTTGGGGGAACCCCAATACCAGGACAGAAAGGCCAGTTACAGGCAACCCAATGGTGGTAGTTGGTGGGCTTTGAGCATAACCTCTTCCTTCTTGATCTCTCCTTCTGCCCAGGGACAGAACAGGTTCCAAGGTTTGGAACAAGGCCATGCCTACAAAGGCTGTTCAAGTGACCCTGCCTTTAAGGATTGCAGGAACAGAGAGTTAAGCAATCATTGTATGCCTTGAGTAATCAGATCTGGGTGTTCTAGTCTTATTCAATGTGATCCCAAAATTGCCAAAGAAACCACTCTAAATTTCAAGTATCTCTGGGCACGAAATCATGTTTGGGTATGGGTTTCAGAGAAGTCTGTAAACCTATTCCAGAATGAGCCTGAAATCCTGGAGCAGTCCCAACTTGGATCTGGTCTCTTGGGTTTCCCCATGTCCTCAGTGATTTGTGCACAGTCCATATCCTCAGTCTCATCCAGGAAGTGTTAGCTCTTCAGAATAAGCTTGGGGCTTGACTACATTCTATATCTTATGTGTCAGGAACTCCCTTTTCTGACAAAGCAAGATAATTTCCTATGAAGTTTTTTCCCTTAAATCTACAAAGAAGTTGCCACTATACCTCTGGTTATAAACTATAAGATAACATTCTTAAAAATACAGCTGGGAGACTAGAATATAATCCTTAAAACTGATTTTAAATATCTGTTAACTGGTTTAAGAGCAAAGATACAAAGATAAAAAGCCATTTGGTTCCTGGTTTTTAATGGTCACATCTCAATTCTGAGAAGACTAGAAATTACTTGTATGTTTGTCTCAAAATGACCACCTGTTGATCTGCTGAAGATTTTACTTTGTGGGCAGCTGGGTGGCTCAGTGGTTGAGTGTCTGTCTGCCTTTGGCTCCATTTGTGATCCTGGGGTTGTGGGATTGAGTCCCACATCAGGCTCCTCACAGGGAGCCTTCTTCTCCTTCTACCTATGTCTCTGCCTCTCTGTATCTCTTTCGTGAAGAAATGAATAAAATCTTTCAAACAAAATTTTGCTTTGCTAGACAATGACCCCCCAAAAATGGAAATACTAATGTGATACATAACTCATGAATAAGATGGAAAAATTGCAACCTGACCTTTTGCCAGACTTATTTAACTATTATCATGTCTTCCCCACCCCGGCCTTTTTTTTTTAGGAACTTGCACTTTGCCTTCTGTAACAGTGATGATGAATGATATTGATAAAAAAAGGGAGGGCAAGCTCAAATGGTAAGAACGAACACCTTTGTAAAGAGAACCTAGGGTTCCATAGAAAACTCAGAATCTGTGAATACTTGGAACTATTTTAGTCTTAAATGGTTCAGAGTGAGGTCATTAGGGTGACAGCTATGAGCTAAATTCATCTATTCAAAAAGTATTTATGGAGGATTTACTTTGCACCTGACACAGTACTCAGTCCTCCAGGGCTCCTGCAATATATCACAGAAAGAAGACTCAGAAAGGATTGAAAATCAGAGGAGTTTGAGAGTGCATGAATGTGGATTTCTATTTTCCAAACCATAAATCCTCTAAGATACAGAGGATGCCTCCAAACTGATGGCTCTAATAAATATGATTTAGCAAATGAGAATAGTCAGGAAAACAGAGCTCAAGTCCTACCTCTGTCACTAATTAGCTTAGTGGCCATGAATGAACTTCATGAGTAAGAGACAATTTCCACTTGTGAATGGGGATAGAAATACTTTTCTCAGCTGCTGTGCAGTATTGGGGAATGTCCAGATGAGATCAGTGCACAAGCTAACAAAGTGCAGAACGAGTAAGTGAAGTCCCCTTTCCAAGCACAAGGGATTGATGTTGATTCCCTCTGATAAAAAGCTGTAAAGCATTTTCCCTGTTTTTGTTCCTATAGGACATGTACACAGAGCTTTGGTATTCACAATGATGTTTCTTCTCCCACCTCTAGGTTTGGCACCAGCGAGACAGTACAGACGGATTATATTAGTTATATGGATGAACTTGCCTCCTTCATTGGGGCAAAGCCCAATATCCCGTGGTTGTTCCTCACAGATCCCAAATTGGCTGTGGAGGTTTTCTTTGGCCCTTGCAGCCCATACCAATTTAGGCTAGTGGGCCCAGGGAAGTGGCCAGGAGCCAGAAATGCCATCCTGACCCAGTGGGACCGGACCCTGAAACCCATGAAGACAAGAGCTGTTGGGAACCCTCAGAAACCTTGCATGCTTTGCCATTTGGTCAAGCTCTTTGTTCTTCCTGTTCTGTTCATTGCTGTTTTCCTCGCATTGATCTAATTATCATTCCTCACAGGATTCTGAAAGTTACTGATGACACCCAGGATAGAACTCTCCTATTTAAAAAATAAGAATTTCACACCTCCTACTTTCCTATTCAGCAGGCATTCGTCAGTAACACAGTACTACTTCCAGGCTTTCAAGTAAGCCCCTTTAAGAATCAAATCACCACCTAAAGACAGCATTAATCACTTTTCTTTAGGTTCCACTAACATTTCATAATCAGAACTATGCTTTTCACCACTAACCTCAAGCACCTCCTGAAACATTTCGATGTGATTCCTTTTCTCCTTTAATCAAAGTTTGAAATACATGCTTCAAACTTGAACAAAGAGCAAACTCAGCAGAGTAGTTATGATATTCTCCAGCCACTTCTGAAAACCATTTGCAGGAGAATCAAGTAGAGAATTTGGCTTTTAATTCTATTTTTGTTTTATACCAAATCCTCCAGGCAATATGTCCTGATTCCTGGCCAAAAAGTATAGCATGGATGGGGATCCCTGGGTTGCTCAGCAGTTTGGCTCCTGCCTTCAGCCCGGGGTGTGATCCTGGAGACGGTGAACAAGCCCCACATCGGGCTCCCTGCATGGGGCCTGCTTCTCCCTCTGCCTGTGTCTCTGCCTCTTTCTCTCTCTCTCTCTCTCTCTCTCTCTCTCTCTGTCTCTCTCATGAATAAATAAATAAAATCTTAAAAAAAAAAAAGTATAGTATGGAGACCTGGTGTATAATGAAAGTTAACAAGAAGTAACATTAATGGACTGATAAAGGATATAATATTCTTCTCAAACTTATGTAGCCAACACATTCTCTTAATGTCCTATTAATGTCAATCTTTCTCCATACTTAAGACATGAATTATTTTAACTATTTTTGATGTCTTAATTACTTCTTTATTAACAGCGATGATTTTTGATCACTCATTTTTGCTCTCAAGTTTTACTGATAAAATTAAATATATATTTATACATAGATATACAATTTGAACATATGAAGCACAAAAGATCTTTTCACTCCCAATTTCATCTCATCATATCTATATTCGCAATAAGGACACAAAATTCTTACCAGGACTTAAAAAGTGCATAAATCAGGTATTAATAGCACAACCAAATAAAAATTGTTTTGTGCAGTGGCCACAGCTATGCTGATTAGATCCGAAGCTGACCCACATGATCACAGGGTTGCTGACTGCACCCAGTTGGGAGGCAGGAACTTGAATCAGGCTTTTGGCACTTCAGCCTTCTAGATGTTTCAAGCTTCTGGTGCTAAGTAGTTGCTCTTCGCCAAATACTTAGCCAAACTAGTGTGGATATATATATACCAGTCTTCTCATTCCTCTGTTCCTCCCTTTGTCCTTCCTTCCTCTTTATCTTCCTCTTCTTTCTTGTTACTATTCTAACTGCTTTCTCCCTTTTGCCTTCTCTGACTTCTTTATATTCCTTTGTCCCCTTTGTTGTTTCTTTTGCCTTCTCCTTCAGCAGGAATGATCAGTGGTAGACATATTCACTTTGAAGGACTCTTGGATCTTCTGGGATAGAGTCCCAGATGCTACCCTAAGCATCTTTCAAGAAGGGAGCATATTTCCCCAGATGCAACTACCCAGCCAAACTCAGTGCTACTTAATATCCAACCTCACCATTCAGTCCAATCACTGCTCAAATGTCAATTCTATGTAAAAATACAATCCTTTGTCACTTTCTACCTCCTGTCCTTTGTTTTTCCTCATGGTATCTAATATAGTCGCCATGTGTTTGTGAGTGATCTGTCCCCTCACGAGAAATAAGCTCTATGAGAGCAGAAATATTTTGTCCGCGACTATTCCCCCAGGGCTTAGAAGAGTACTTGGCATTTAGTATGCAGCCAGTAAATATTAGCTATTCTTGTTGAAAACAGGCATTATTTAGATTCAATCAAATGTTCCAGATGCACAAAGTGTTAAGTGTAAGGTGATAAGAAACTGTTTTGCTATAAGTGGCTCCTTTAAAATGTAGGTTTTATTATTATCTGGGTAGAGTGAGGCCAACATATCAGAAGATAATTTCCACTGAAGAGATACGTTGCTAATTATTCACAAGCCACACCACAGCACACCAGACAGGGTGTCAGCAGGGTCAGACAGGAAGCCAAGAAAAGGAAAACATGGGCAAGAGGCTTTATTGTTTTTTTGGTGTGGTTTGCAGGTTTTTTTCAGTGAGAAGTAACTGGAGAGGTAGCATAAGCGGGTTTAGGACTAGTTGGTTTGAGTAATTTCAGCAGGGTGTAGGGGTTGCCCTGAGTTGTCTGGTACCTGGAGTGTGAAAGCCAGGGAGCATGAGCTCTAGACTGGTTGCTGTGCTTATGAAAGCCACACTCCTTGGGCCGGGTGAGTTTTTTGCTATTTCTATGGATTAGCTGACCCTGGGAAAGGCAGTCCTGCCACAGCTAGCAAGGCTGCAAGATGTCAAAACATCAAAAATAGAAAATAAAAAGACATGATTAATACAATGGTCAAATCTGCCCTGGGTTGGAGCTGGAGGGGGAGGCAGGAATCAGACCCTAGAGAAGAGAGGAATTACTAAAGTCAAATGACAGGGATTGAAGTGAGGTAGCAAAGCCAACTCACTGGAGCCTACGGTGGTGACAGAGGCCACCAAAGGGCTGGAGTAGTTGTACGACAAGAGTTTGGGAATGTCCTGCTGTCTTCAAGTCTTAAAGCCAGGAGATTTAGTGGAAAACCATCTGCTCTCAAGACAATTAATTAAAAGGTGAACATCTTCCCCAAATTCATTTGGGGAATATAAATAATAGTGAAAGGGAATATAAGGGAAGGGAGAAGAAATGTGTGGGAAATATCAGAAAGGGAGACAGAACATGAAGACTCCTAACTCTGGGAAACGAACTGGGGGTGGTGGAAGGGGAGGAGGGCGGGGGGTGGGGGTGAATGGGTGACGGGCACTGAGGGGGGCACTTGACGGATGAGCACTGGGTGTTATTCTGTATGTTGGTAAATTGAACACCAATAACAAATAAATTTATTAAAAAAATAATAAAAAAATAAACACATTCTTTGTGGGGAAAATAAACAAATAAATAAACAAATAAATAAATAAATAAATAAATGGTGAACATCTAACACTGGCCTTTCATACATGGTTATTGTTATTCCAAGTGGAAGTCTTGAAAAACTATGTTTGAGTATTTTTGTCTATAAAAATTAATTTTCATCTATTTGAATAAAAAAACATAAAGTCCTTTTGTCCAGATCTTTTCCTTGAGTATTTTTAAAATATGTAATTCATTTTCAATTAATTTTGCCTATTCCATAATGCTTAAAAACAAAATATTTGTAATATCTCAAGTAACACCCCTGGAATACTGCATTCTCCCTGCCTTCCAAGTGACCATTTTACTATTATAGTTGCCTACCAAGGCCAGAAAGAAACCTTGGTGACCAAAAAGTTTTGTACTTTAAGAAATATGATAGTAGCTTTTCCTAAATCATGCATACAACATATATTTATGAAGCTTTTTGTGGGCTGGGCCTTGTATTAGGTGATAAACACTTTCCCTGTCTTCACAGAATTTATAACCTAGGAGGTAAGAATAGACATTAACAAATTTATATTTAAATTTACTCCTCTTCAGGTGGCTTACACTTTTTGAGTGATAAAGAGTTGTTATTTATTTTTAGCTATTCTTTTATTTGTCTTCAAAAAATCTGATTCTACAGGCCTGTGCATTATTATGCGATAATCTAGAGATAGCTTTAATCAGATGTGACACTTTATTAAAAAAAAAAGTCTGCTAGCTGTTATTCTCAGCAACAATTGCAGCAACAAGATTGACACTGTTTCATTAATAAAGTCTCTTTGCCAGCATCTTAGATTAGTTCCCCAATCATTAATTGCTAGCCTATTATGGCCAAGCCTCCATGCTAGACACTAGGATGAAAAAGCTGAGTTAGAAATGGTTCTTGTCTTCGAGCTGTTACAGTCTGGAATGTAACAGAGAACTGAAAAATATATAAATTTGCTTTCAGTAAGCAGCAACACTTTCATATAAATCCAGCCTCTGTACTCTCAATTATCTAAGATTTTTAGAAATTGCTAGTACCTATCATTTTAGAGTTTAATTAAAATATTAAAGCTTGATTAATCCCAGAATAATCCTTTGACATGGGTGTATCACAAGATAATTACTATAAGTTTTATTACAAAAATAGGAATTCATAATACTCTAGAGTTACCCTAAAGATACAACTACAAGTTCAAGGTTTTAAGATAAATAACTTATTTTGGTTCTATTATTGTGAACCTGTGACTGCATGTGTTATCTTTGGAGATGACACTCAAAGTATAAATGCAAGACCCTCTAGGAATATTGGGCCATGTGGCTTCCCTGCTTAAGATGTAAGAGGTCAGGGGCCCTTAACACAATTCAGTGCAATGCCCCCTTTTGATAGCAAGTATCTTGTAAAAGTTTTTCTTCTGTGTATACAAAATAATAGAAAGTCCAACTTACCAGCATTGATAAATAATACTAGCTCCATAAAGCCAGCCCTTTGCATTGGTATCCAGAAGGGACTGGGAATGGATAAGAGACTCTAAGTTCCCTTTTATTTTTTATTTTTATTTTTTGAAATTTTGTTCATCCTGGTAATGAGACATCTAAATACAGTTTCTCAAGCCAAACACCCAGGTATAATACTTAATTTTTTTCTTTGCCTCCTGTATGAGTTTGCTAGAGCTGCCATAGCAAAATACCATAGCGTGAGCAACTTAAACAACAGAAATGTATTTTCTCACAATTCTGGAGGCCACAGGCCCAATATGCAGATGCCAGCAGGGTTGTTTTCTTCTGAGGCTTTTCTCTTTGGCTTGTGGATGATTAGTTTTTCCTCCCTATGTCTTCCACAATCCTTCTTCTGTGTGTTCCTCTGTTCAAATTCCCTCTCCCTTAAGGACACCAGTCCTATTGGGTTAGGCCCACCCTAAGACCTCACTTTAATTTAATCATCTCTTTAGAGACCTGATTTACAAATACAGTCACATTCTGGGGTACTGGGGCTTAGAACTTCAACATAAGAAATTGGGGAAGGACACAGTTCAGCCCCTGACACCTCACCACCTGCCTATCCACAGCATCAGCAAATGTTTTGCTTCCCTAGACCTCCACAGCCTCTACCCTGGTCCAGGCACCATTAATTTTCTCCCATGGTTCTAAGAGTCTCCTACATTGTCCCACTGTTTCCATTCCTGCGCCTTCCACTCTCTATACAGCAAGCAGGAGTGATCTTTCTCAAACACGAATGGGATCTTGTCACCAACATACTTCAACCCTTACAATGGTTAATCATTGCAATTAGTATGAAACGCAAGTCCCATCATGACCTATAAGATCCCACTCTACTTTCAACCCCATTTGATACCTTTCTCCTCCATTCCTGTATTTTCATGAGATTGGTCTTCTTTCACACTACATTCATTACCAATTGAGAGCATTTGTTCTGTCTACATAGCTAGCACTTTCTTATATTCAGGTTTTAATTCACATAGAGCGATACCCAAAATGAGATGCCTTCCCTGGCCATACAGTTTACATCAGCAACAACCCTCTTTCAAATCATCCTATTTTGTGTCCTTCTTGGCACTTTTGTTTCTGAAATAATCTTATCCATTTTTTTTACCTGTTTATTTTTTCTCTTTTTTAAAATTTAAATTCAATTAACATTTAGTGTATTATTAGTTTCAGAGGTAGAAGTCAGTGATTCATCAGTCTTACATAACACCCAGTGTTCATTACATCACATGCCCTCCTTAATGCCCATCACCCAGTAACCCCATCCCCCCAATCCCTCCCCTCTAAAAACCCTCAGTTTGTTTTGTTATGGTCTCCTTCTCTGACTTCCTTTTGTTTTATTTTTCTTTCCCTTGATCCTTTGTTTTGTTTCTTAAATTTCACAATTAGTGAGATCATATGATAATAATCTTTCTCTGATTGACTTATTTTGCTTGGTATAATTATCATCCCCTTTCTCACCTGCAACTAGGATCTAAACATAAATAACACCTGTTTTATTCTACACTATATCCTCAGTGCCTTCAATGTGCCTTGTACATAGTGGACACTTAGTGAATACTTATTAAAGTAATCAATAAATTTGCATGTATGTTGACTACACATATTTAATATGCATTCTTTTTTTTTTTAATTTTTATTTATTTATGATAGTCACAGAGAGAGAAAGAGAGAGAGGCAGAGACACAGGCAGAGGGAGAAGCAGACTCCATGCACCGGGAGCCCGATATGGGATTCGATCCCGGGTCTCCAGAATCGCACCCTGGGCCAAAGGCAGGCGCCAAACCGCTGCGCCACCCAGGGATCCCAATATGCATTCTTTTTTTAAAAAAGATTTTATTTATTTATTTATTCATGAGACACAGAGCGAGAGAGAGGCAGAGACACAGGCAGAGGGAGAAGCAGGCTCCATGCAGGGAGCCCGACACAGGACCCGGTCCCGGGACTCCAGGATTGTGCCCTGGGCTGAAGGCAGGCGCCAAACCTCTGAGCCACCCAGGGATCCCCTTTAATATGCATTCTTAAGACATATTAGTTTAAATAAAATTATTCGATATGTTCCTTTTAAAGTAATTTTATTCAGTAAAATAAGTAATATTGTTCATTACTTATCCTCAAATTGTCACATATTTCATTATGTAAAATGATACATCCATTGGGTAATACAATATAAATTTACTTTTATTGCTCTTAAGTATTTTGGTTTCCTTTTATCAAGGAGATTAGTATCAAAATTAACATATCACAACAAATTATGTCAATAATTCATATTAAATCAATAAATCTTATGTGTTTTTAAAAGCACCTTCTTCTAGTATCCAATCTACTATTCTTAAAAAGATATTTAAAACATGTAAAGTGACAGAACAATTTAAAGTCAAATTTGCACTCTCTTTGATACATTCACATTTATATCAGTAATTGGGAATACTGAAAAGACATAAGAAGTTATAGTTTTGAAAAAAAAAACCCTTTTTTATAGTTATTCCAACTGACAATATCACTCATTTTGAAACTATTTGAGGGTTAAAAGCCAACTAATAAAAAGAAGCCCATGTTACTAAGTCATGTGGCAAATCAACTTGCTGCATGACGTTCAGAAGTACATGGGTAACCCTGTTCACTATACTCACCATCTCTAGCAGATAACCTTACTGTTCTCCAAGTGCCTTCATGTTGACCTTACCGTCCCTTTTTCAAGAACAGGATGGAAGCTGGACAGGACATGCCCTCCCGCCCATATTACAGATGAGGAAATACATATACAAAGAAACAGTGGTGTATCTGGAGATCATCCAGTTCTGTGGCACAGTGCAAGCTAATCCTTATGACAAAGTATAGGAGAGAAGCACCTATAATCTGGAAAACCATCTATCCATTAACAGTTTCCTCAGGTTAAGATAATACTATTTAGTACAGGAAATTCTGACTACACTTTCTAATCCTTAGATGGTACCTACATTCAAACTTTTTCCTACAGACTTTTGTTTCTACTGTATTCATAACTCTTTCTCACAGACTCAGTTATCAGTTTAAGTATGGTTGAAGCCCTGAAAATAAATAGGTTGCTAAGTTGGAAATGTTAAGTTGATCAGGATAATTGCCCATTTCTGATTGCCAAAAGGATTAAGCTGTAATACTATAGCCTATGTGGAAATCTATAGCCTCCTTCATGTTGTATAACTGGGCGGGTGTCTGACAACTATAAATTTCAATTCTGGTTGAGTCCAGAATTGATGTGGTATGGTCTGGTATGTAGAAAGCCCAAGAAACTCCCTGACATTAGAAAAATTTATGCTGGTAGTGAGGCTTCACTTTGA